ATGTCGCTGAAAACAACAAATCCTACACACTGTGCCTTTAAAGAGACAGAGGACATTTTCAAGACTTTAGTTTATTTAGATTAAACTTATTTACTATACATCAAGCCTTTTCATAACAACTAAAGATGACGGTTACTAGATTGTGGTATAGAATTTAATTCTTATATGTGCCTGAAAATTACATACCCCTCCCCACTCCAAAAAAAAAAAAGATATTGAGCTAAAACTTGGTGTGTCAAGCTGCAACACATGCTCCGAGCATTGCACGTTGCACAATATTTTGTGAGGTATTTTGCTAACAGACAGACGAGGTTAACACCCCAGACCTCATGTGATCTGTTGCTGATCTGAAGACTGATTAGCTGTGGCGGCCATCTTGAATTGGGTTGACTCGAAAGTTAGTTAGCTGTAAATGTGTGCTTTATTAAAGTCTGTTAACTAATTCAAAAGAAATATTGCAAAACAATCCAAAATGCAGAACCAAATGTAAGCAATTAAATTATAAATGGCAACATTTAGAAGGTAAAAACGCATTTAAATCATACTTTTTCACAGATTGTAACGCGGTAGAAATGATGAATACAATAATGGAGCTTTCTGAAGGACAACTAAACTTCTGCTGTCTGTTTTAGCAGTTCCAGGTAAGGCTTCATTAAAAGCACTGGTTCTGGAAGTGAGCGTGGCTAACTGCAGAACAAAATGTCCAAAAAGGCAAACAGACTTCGTATGCTGAGTGCCTAAAACCCCTCCTTTCAACTCTCTGACACTTTGTAGCAAAAGGAGAAGTTTTTTTTTTCTTCTGGCTGCAGCCACCCTCCCCCCACCCCCCTCCTTGTGAGACAGAGGCAGAGGAATTTCATTGAGAAAATGGAGGGCACTGGAAAGACTAGAGTCCCTGGTGGAGCGCTCCGGGGTTTCAGGTTGCACCAGCGGCTTCCTTTTTCTGCAGGCAGATGAACTCATAATGGAAAAATGAGTGCGGCCGCAGAAACTCGAACCTCTCACTGGCTGGGCTGTAGGAGAGGGAGGGGGGTGGGGGGTGTATTTACGGGGTGGGGTAGGCAGCCCGGGCGCTTTAACAACAAGCTGAAGGAAAAAAAACACAGCTCCTCCTTCGTGCCTCCTTCTGAGAAACGAAACACTGGACWCACGTCCTGCCCTCGTTCACCTGCGTTAAAGAAGCTCCTGAACGCCTCACCTGAGAGAACGAGCAGCTTCGACACCTTTATCTAGATATCAAGATAAGATCGTCTTACTTTAGCATTTTGTGTTCCTTCTAGGAAATATAGGCCTTTAATTAGTTTGAACTTTGGTTTTATTTGTTGTGGAAATGGCCACTTAAAGGAAACATATCGTGCAAAATCCACTTTTTTAGCTGTTAATGTAATTTTTGTGTACTTGTAGGTAAAGTTAGTCTCTCCAGGTGCTGCGTAGATATCATTATATTCTGTTTGGGTCATGTTTTTTTAATCAAAAAAAAATTGCTCCAGAAGCTCGAGGGGGAATGGTGTGTGAAGCTCCTCGGCTGGATTTAAAGAGACAGCCTCGAGACGAGTTGATCTGAGACACACCTCAGAAAAGGGGTGAAAGAGGGGCTTGTGGAGTTACAACAAGGAGCAGTTCCTCTTGATATAGACCCCAACTGAAGGATTTAAATGTGGAAAAGAAGGATTTAAAAAGATAATCTTTTAAGTTTAACACATTTTAAATTTTGAACTTAATGTACAGGGAGCCAATTGAAAAAATGAAAATTTCACCACCAATTTTTCATTTTTTAGCTCACTTTTTTAGTTAAAATTTGTCCACTATTTTTGTTATTCCGCTCACTTTTCTTACATTTAGCTAT